TACTCGTATTTTATTGGTGTTTACATATCACATTATGCATTCTAATCGTATTATCCACTCCCGAGATTTTATAAAACGTTTTAAACCCAAAATCTTTCATATTTCCAATAAACTCAGGAAAAAGCATCATGGGGTTGGCAGCGTGCCTTAAAATCTACACCTATCATCACACCGCTGTTCCAGTTATCATTAGTACCAACAGCCGGTCCCTTCCTAACAAAGTTCTGGATTTTCAGTCCCTGTTGTCGTCAGGAATTTACCACAATACTGGTATTGTCACTCCACAAGAAACGTGGCTCCATGACTCATTTAATGGCAATATGGTGTCTCTAAACAATTTTAATGTATTCCGACAAGACTGTGTTTGTTCCAAGAAGAAATGTGGTGGAGGTGTTGTAACTTTTATTCACTCAAAATGGTCCATTTCTAACAAAGTTTGTTTCAAATTCTCGAATGACTACATTGATTGCATCACTGTGAGATGTCGCCCGAAACACCTGTCCAAATACAAATTCATTTATATTTCTAGTGTTTATGTCTCTCCTGGCTGTATCATATCGGATTTGTCTATGTTCGCTGATTAATTCACCGCTTTTGCTGCAGCTTGCTTCGAGAACTCTTTATCTATAGTAACTGATGACTTTAATGCATGCGATCACTCCTTCCTTGTATCACTTGGTCATGACAATATTGTTAAATTTGCTACCCGTCTCGGTAAAACACTGAATCTAGTATTTATCAATGATGTTGGTAAATATGAGGCTCGCAAACGTGCTCCTTTACTTAACTCCGACTACTGCATCATACATGTATTGCCAAAAGTACATTCCAAATCACACAAAGGTGTCCTCTCTCACCTCTACAGTAAAGTTCAATGGAGATGCAACTCACAAGACAACCGAGACAATCTCAGATGCATGCTGAAACACACTAACTGGGACTTATTTACAGAACAAACACTTGATGAAACGATCACAAACACTACTGATTATCTTAAATTCTGTTTCAAAATATGTTCTCCTGAAGAAACGTTATTCATTCGATTTGATAGCTTCTCTTCGCAATACCTCAAAAAGCTACGTAGGGATAAAGAACTGTTGCTCAAATCAAATGATAAGCCTGGTGTAAAATAGTCAAATACTCTGATAAAACTTGAAATGAAAAGACTAAATGTTTTATATAATCAAAGATTTTTGTCATGTAAGACCCCTTCTAATTTATGGAAACTTTTCAAAGAAATTACTACCGGTGAGCGATGTACTTCTGTCCCATCTCTTAATGTCGGCACTCTTAATAAATCTTTCATACGCTCTTCTGTTGATATCCTTCCTAATGATACAAACCATAGTGACAATAATTTTAGTGGTTTTAATACCCTTGATTTGCTTAAATGCCTCCGGTCTCTTAAGCATTCTCAAAGCCTAGGTCCTGACGGCATACCTGCCATTGTCTTCAGGAATTGTGCTGATATTTTATGTTACCCTCTTACTAACATTTTTAATGCTTCTTTTTCCGGTAACGTTCTACCTTTTGCATGGAAAAACATTAAAATTATCCTTATAACAAAACCATCTTCTGGTTCTGATATTAAATTTCGGCCTATTGCAATTACTTCCCCCTTTTTAAAATTGATGGAAAAATTACTTTTACTTCGTCTCGAACCTCCATTGAAACCTTTTAATGATCCTAAACAATTTGCATACAAACATGGTAGAAGTACCTTGGATGCTGCGGTCGTCTTATATCATAATGTTGTCTCTTGTTTAGACAAAGGTGCTAAATATGTTCGTAGTGCTTTCTTAGACTACACATCTGCTTTTGACTCTGTACCTAGGGGCCTTTTATTAAATAAGCTTTCGTTGACACAAACAGGATCCTAGGCTAAGAGTTGGTTGCATTCCTATTTTTCTGATAGAATGTAGTATACTGTATATAATGGCAAATCTTCTTTTGCTTCGCTTACAAAAGCCGGTGTTCCTCAAGATACCGTCTTCTCTCCTTTTCTCTTTTCTTTCTTCCTATACGACCTGCCTCATTCAAACGAAACTAACTTTGTCAAATATGCAGATGATCTGACTGTATCACTGCCTATCACTTCCGAGTCTGACTGCTGCAAACTTAATAGCTTTGTGTTGGACATCAGCAAGTGGTCTGAGTCAAATGGTCTTATGTTAAATCCTTCCAAATATCATGCAGTTGACTTTACTTTCAAGCGTCGACGTGACTTACATGAACTAGTCAGTTCGCATGATACCTGTAGCATAGATGGCACGGAAATTGAAACCAAGTCAAGCATTAAATACCTTGGATTAGTTCTTTCCTCTGACCTTTCATGGTCATCCCACATGTTATCTATCTCTAAGAAAATGTTTCGTCTTATCTTCTACATTAAAAAGTTAAGACAATCAGGTATCAACCAACCTTTAGTTTTGCAATTTTTAAACTCCTGTATTTTACCTATTGTACTGTATTGCTCTCCATTAATCTTTCCTGGGCTTCTCAAAAAAGATTATATCATATTACGAAGAGTATTAAATGCTGTGAGTAGAGCTTGTGGCCTCCCACTGAGTGAGCTCGCCAATACTACAGTCGAGAGGCATATAAATTCCTGTACAAAATGGGCGAAGTCTATACTGTCAGACCCTCTGCACCCCCTTTATTCACACCTATCCCCTTGTATCTCATCAGGTAAGACGAGAAGTCAATATAAAAGGTTATATGCTCGTACCACTAAGTACAGAAATTCTACAATACCCTATTTAGCCCATACTTTATGTGACGAAGACTCTGTTAGACGTGAAACACATTAGTTACTATGTAATTGGCACAGTAAATCGACCCTTTCATTGTTCATCTTTCTGTATTTTATGGTGTCACACTTTCTGTCGTTTATTTTAGTTGGTATTACTATTATTACTACGATTTTATACCTTATGCATATTTTTCTCCGTATTGCATACACTATTTTGCTATGTCGTTTTGTCGTTTTTGAGTAAATTAGATGCAATATTGTACTGAATGCTGAAAATTCCTTGCTGTATCATTAGTACTGTTTTTGGAATGAAGCAAAAATTATTATTATCAAACTAAACAGTAAAGAGGATATTACCCCCACAGAACATCAAGATTACATCGCAAAACCAACGTGCGAAAACCTGCTGGGTACATTTCAAATTACCCCGGCTATGGTACTTGTAAAATTGGGAAAGTTGGCTTCGGGAAAGTCTTCAGGTTGTGATGACATCAGACCATCCATCCTGAAGCAGTGTTCAGAAAGTCTCTGCCAACCCCTAAGTGATCTGTTCCAACACTCTTTTGATATAGGGAAACTTCCATGTGAATGGAAACGAGCGATCTTATCCCCCATCTTCAAGGGTGGTGACCGGCAGAATGCGACCAGTTACAGACCAGTTGCTCTACTTCCAGTGATATCGAAAATATTGGAAAGTCTCATCGACGACCACATGATAAAATACTTCGACGGGACTAACCTTCTCCACGAAGCACAGCACGGTTTCAGGAGGGGAAGATCCTGCGTGACGAATCTTCTACTAGCTTGGAACGATTGGACACTATCCTGGGACGAAAAAGTACCAGCCCATGTGATCTTTCTCGACTTTGCGAAAGCATTCGACACAGTTCACCATGGTCTGCTCCTTCACAAAATAAGCAAGGCGGGTGTTTCTGGAGCACTTCTCGCATGGCTGAAAGATTACCTAGGCGAGAGAGAATTCTGCACCAAAGTCAACCGCATCCGATCATCCTGGCACACCTCGGCATCAGGGGTTCCTCAAGGTTCTATCCTAGGGCCGTTGATGTTTTTGATTTTTATCAACGACCTGCCCTCCCAACTAAACTGCTCTGCGCTTCTTTACGCTGACGACGTAAAGATTTGGAGAGCGATAAACTCATCGGAAGACTCAGACAGATTGCAGGCTGACCTGCAAACTCTGGGAAACTGGACTCTGGCTAACGGGATGCCTTTGAACCTAAAGAAGTGCAAAGTAGTGAAACTACATTCCGGAAGGTCACAGAGTGTAAATTACATCCTTGGTGGCCAGAACTTGAGTTGTGTTCCATCGGGGCGCGATCTAGGTCTTATTCTAACAGAAAAGCTAGACACCAGTGGAAATTACGCGAGGGACGTCGCCAAAGCCTACGCAACTTTACACTTTATGAATAGGCAGCTGGGAGCTCTCACTCCCGAACTGTTCTAAGGTTATATAAGGCATATGTGAGGCCACACCTTGAGGTGCATAATATCATTGCACCTCCGCTACTCAAAAGGGATGCTAACATTCTAGAAAGTGTCCAGAGACGAGCGACAAAATGGGTGATCGGCCTCCGCAACAAATCATATGAGGAACGACTAAAGAAATTAGGTCTTTACACACTTAGTTACCGTAGGCACAGGGGAGACCTCATCACCGTCTACCAGATCTTAAATGACCTGGCCCACCCAAATAAAAGCATCCTGCCACAAAGCGATTATAAGCTTCCGCGATATAACCTGTTAAGGATAGCACACCAGAGACCAAAGACTCGAGTGCGATCACATTTCGTTTCGCTTCGAGTTTGCCATCTCTGGAATGCTTTACCGGCGGCCGTGGCTATAGCGCGATCTCTGGAGATTTTTAGCGGAAGTTAGACAATCATGCAGAAATGCAAGGTTTGTGTCTCAATGGCTTATCTCCATAAAACTTAAAACCACACTGTGAATGGATAAGCATACAAACTAAATCCCCACGACCTATTCTGCCTTCTCTCACTCTCTTTTCCTTAGGTCACCTTTATTATTTCATTTATCTCAACCCATATTATCTACACCACAACCTATTATTATTATTACTATTCTGCTTTTACGACTACACCGAATGACCAACGGGAGTTAGGTCAAAATCCATTCACGGCAGAAACACAGTCCTAACATACTAGGTCGTAATCAGGATATTGGATTGTATAAACTGAACATTTAACGGCAAATTTTCGGAAAGAATTTGTACTTCAAGGTTAGGATTTTGATGTACATATTTGGGGATTCGTGACCCTCATTACATATTTCCGGTTGAAATTTTACCTTTTCTAGTAATTTTTGCTCTTAAATTTTAAAATTCAATATATTTCCTAATGCTTTTAGGTCCGGATCTTCAAAAGACGTTAGGAAAACTTGAGTTTGCTTACCGTCAGACCGATCGGTCTGATGTAAAACATAATTATGTTTTACTTTGAAGTAAACTGATGAGCCAAGCTGAGATTCTCGAGCCTCTTTTTTGAAGAACAAATTATGCAAATCACAAGTTTCGAGGATCCGACATAGGAGGTGATTACAAGCAGTCCACACAAAATGTAGTTTCATGATTGCAGCTAGCTTTTTTTTCGGACGCATTGCAGACTTTTTGGGCAGACTTCGGGACACTGTCCCACGTAAGTAGATCTACCCGAATTTTTCGCCCCAAAAAGTCTGCAATGCGCCCAAAAAGATGCTAGCTGGAATTATTCTTATTCTAACTTATTCTAACCTATTCTTCGATAATGCCTTTTTATGGTAAACGAAGATCTACTCACTATCTTCTGAAAAAACTCTGGTCGTGCTTAAACAGAGAGCTGGGTGCCGAATGAAGTCTTTTCGTTCTGTCGTTATAACGACGGTCCGTTCTTAATATGTATCGTGGAGGCTGGAACAACGCTGATAATCAAACCCAGCAGGTTCTAATCTACTCCTGAAAATGATTCGAAAAAGAACAGGGTGCTGAATTAGTGCCAGTCATGATGAAAACCTGCACAGAGTTCTAGTCTGTGCCATTAAAAAATCCATTTCACAAGAGAATCCGAATTTACTCACTATAGAATGTTAGAATTATTTCAGAATTATTGAGATTTAATTCAGCATTATTATAAGCTTGTGTGCGCAGAAATTCTGCAAACTTCTGCATTGCGCCCGAAGCAAACGCTAGCTGGGCTTCCATATCGCTATTCGCAAAAATCATATAGACACGTGTTAACAGAATATTGTCCACTAATACAGCGTAAGGATCAAAAATCACAGAATGGTGAGATAATTCAAACTCTAGATAACACTAGTAACTATTTGTAGAGACAGCAGACTTTCAAATGAAGGGCTATGGATTCCAACTAAAATTTGGCTGATGGAATATTGTCTGTCAAGTAATACAAGTGAGATTCTCGTATTCAGCGTTTTATCGAGTGTATAAACATGCGCGTGGTTGCTTTGTCGTATTACTGCTGTAGAATACGTTCCAGAAGTGTTTCCTTTTGGTATTCTGACTTCATCTTGACACCATTTATTTCTTTACGATGACCAGTGTGTTAAGCAATGTAAATAAGTGCACTCTTTCTGATTCACGGATAAATAAAGTAGATCTCGCATTGCTTTTGTCTTTAAACATAATAAGTAGAGGTATTTTATTTAGTAATCATCTTATGTGTGTGTAAACTACATTACCGTTGTCACTATTTTGAAGTTTAGATTATGTCAGACGAAGATTCGATAAGAATTAAACTTATTCTCTTAGGCGATTCGGGAGTGGGAAAGTCGAGGTTTGTTCAGTGTATAATACCGAAATCTTACTTTTTATTTTCTTCAACAAAGTCTAATCCGCCGATTTGTTGATGACCAGTTTCTTGTGAATGAGGCGGCAACAATTGGTTTCGACTATAAACCATATCAGATGGTTTTGGATGGTGAGACTGTACAGTTTAATATATGGGTAGGCTTCATGTACTAAATACATAAACCGTTTCTGTCTAGGATACAGCTGGTGCAGAACGCTACAGTGGTTATCTAACTCCTTCGTTTTATCGTCACGCCAATGGTGCCCTTTACGGTACGTTTGGTATCAAATGACTTTCTACCATCGTTTCCCCTCTTAGTATATGACGTTACTTCTATGCAAAGTCTATCTGGAGTAAAGTATTGGGCAGAACAAACAGAACAGTTCTGTGGCGGTCGGCTTTTAAAAATGCTTGTTGGGAATAAAATTGATTTGGTTAGTTTCTCTGGTTATATGTTCTCTATGTTGTACATATAGGATGGCCGAGTAGTTTCTAAAAAGGAAGGTTCAGATTTCGCCCGACAATTGGGATCACTTTTTGTGGAGACTAGCGCGAAAACAAGTGAGAACGTTCGTGATGCATTCGTAGAGCTTGTTCGAAAAGTGAGTTTTGCAACTATTACAGAGTATTCAAGACTGATTAGGCTTACCAGTCAACTTATTATTTGGTTAATGAGCAAGGTTTTTCACTCGGTTTCACTGTAATCGCAACTTACTATGTATTCAGGTTGGCTCAAAACGCTCCTATTATGTTGAGGTATATTATGGTTAAGTGTACGACTTCTACTGAAGAAGTTAGACATATTCAGATCGAGTTTGAACAGAAAAACGCAAAATTAGGTCACAAGACACAGTTTTGTTCCCTGAGGTGCTTTGAAAATTCAACCGGATGCAAGGTAAGTGCTGTGAAAAGATATCCATGACATTAAGAACTAAAATATCTCACATATTCCAAATACATTTAAATTGTTCGGAAATATTTTCCATATGTACATATAACTGTTCTGTGTATAATAGGACATGTGATTGTGCACACCGATGTTCAAGTTGAACAAATTCAGGTGTATTTAGACCGACACACGGAACGAAATCTATGAATTCATTCACTTTCACCCCTGGTTGCACAACGTGCAAGTTACCTGGTTACGGTCCTCGGGGTGCTGAGAATCAGTCGTGGGAAATGTTTTCTGTGAAAACGCTTAAAATCGCTCACAATTTTCAAACGCCTTCACCCTTTGTCAATTTCGGTATTCCAAATAACTCTACTAGTCTTCATTTAGTTATTCTCTGCTTCATACGTCTTTCCGCTGTAGTGTTATTAAGTTTCTCTTATGTGTGGCTTTTTAGATGTGGTAGCTTGAACTGATACACTTCTTCCTGGAAGTATACGCTAACTCAGTTACCCGGATAATAGTTTGGTTTCGAGATATTTTGGATATTGTATTCACCGTAATAATAGAACAACTCTTTTTTGTACCAATTTTCGGTTCAATATCATTCATTGACCCGTAACTTTGACAAAGTGTAGCGATTCTGATTACTAAATCATTCCTCACTGTGTGTTGGTAGTGTTTTTCATTGAGAATATGTAGTCAACATATCTCGTAAGTAACTGTTATAAGCGACTTCTCTTAAACTATGCAACAAGTGGGTGGCTGATTCACTTTATTATTTGCATTGACTTCTGGCAGTGTATGTATGATTTATGAGATAGTTGGAGGCAATACTGACACTCTTTAGCAAGGCATATCTGTGGTGGCATCTTTGACCAAAGCACTGGCTGAAGCGGGTTTGAATCCTGGAAGGGATATGGATCCCTTCAAGATTGCAAATATGTCTTGTTGAAATGTGCCAGGGCTTCTTGCCAGTTGTATCCGACCACATCAGTTCAGAATGCACCACAGTAGCAGGGCACCTAGCTTGATGACCACATTTAAAACCTGACTGACAGAATTCAGTCTCCACCAAATGCCAAGGAGTAGTAGCAGAGCTTTGGTTACATCTTGGAGGCTTATCGATGTATGTGTAGTTTTGTTTGGTTGTTAAGTATTTCATTCATTTTCTATTATCTCCTCAGATTTCGTGCAACTATGTTCACTTGTCAATTTTGCTGAAATGAAGTGTTGTTCGTTGGTAGCAATAAAAGCTTATCGTTGTAACTAATTTTATCCACTCTTAACTATTTTTATAAACTGTAAAATAGAAATCCAGTATTTTTACAGAAAGGCCTCAGCTTTGTAGCAAGGGTTGGTGTTCAATACTTTTTTCATGGTACTTATATACATACATGCGAGTCTAGATTGAAGATCGATTAACCGGGAAGCATAGTTTGTAACAGTAACTTCATAAATAGAATATGATATGGCCAAAGTTGTATGACATAATTTAACTAACGTTTAGTAATCTCATACAAACCATCCGATTAGCCTCGGGTACACATTACGGATATTCCCTCTATTTACTTCCGCCACATATGGTACTCAATTGCTTTCTGTCCGTAGAATATTGTTAAACATAAACGTCACTGTAAGATTCGTAGTGCATGTAGTTGTGTGACTGATTTCATTTAGGCAGATTTCTGCAAGAGTTCATTCCGATGATTCAGAACCGACTCTTATCTATCCATTGCATTTTTTCTTATGATGCTGTAATTGTTTGCTAAAGAAGGAAATATATTTTATGCTTTATTTTAACAAATTAAAATCATATATAGATACTTCAAGATCCTGAATTCAGAGCATCATCTTCATCATCAAGACCACCTCAGGGTATACCATTACAATCTAAACAACCAGATCCACCACCTTCAACGTGTTCGTGTTAACATCTGAAATTATATCTGTGGTCCAGCGGTATATGTGTGTTTATCTTATCCAGATCCAATTCACGTAACAATCGAAATCAGCCTGTTTTCTTGAATGGAACCAAATACAAATCGTCAGCACGTTCAATGCCTGTGATTCACACATCGCCTTATCCATTCTCCCCGCCCCATTTGTCTCTCCTGTATACATCCTTCCACCGGTCATTACTTCATATACTGCATAAATTTTAATTCGTATAATTTACAACTGTATTGTAAGATTATTTCCGAAGTATTCATGTTTAATTTCACCATTTGTTAATGATATACATATATATATATATTGTTTTTATCATTATCATTATTATCATACAGTAAAAATGTATAACACTTTTGATATTTGGATAATCTGGTCATGGGAAATAAAAATTTCCAGTATTTCAACACTGGCTTATGAACCAGTTGAAGTTAGTTAACACTGAATGTATTCAATTTTATGGCTTGTCGCGATGCTTTTCATCCCTTTTATCTTTTCAAACATTTTAAACACCATTGAAGAAGATATTTCCTTGGATTTAATCTGTATGGAGTCAAAATTGGGTAGTTTTGTGACCTTAAACTTCATTTAGGTCATAATATGTGACTTTCGTCACGTGTTTATGCATGCTTTCTTGATTGTCATTTGTGGTATAAAGCGGATCATATAAGCCGTACTGGTTGACGTGAGTGGTATCCAGCTACTCATCTCAGTCATTCAGTAGTACAGTATGCGGTTCCGTTAGAACGGGGTTCGATCCCATGCCAACGCACATTTGATATCAATTAGTCGGCCTGCAAAATTTGGGCTACCGATATCACATGCTAATATTTCCATACTTGTACAAATACTACGGTGTGAAATCAAGCTATATTTAAAATAATGGTAGACTATTGTATTATGAACTTGATTTCTAAGCGTTGAGCCACAAATTAAAATCTCTCCTCTGTTGAACAAATTCTCGCGGTCATTTAATTTCTACCACTAACTGTCAAAAGTGAGATTTTATTAGCCGGAATACAAGAGCTTATACACCTGACTATTTAACTGTTTTGCATTGAAAAGTGTACCTGACGGGCGTTGAACCTTTATAGATATCAATGACAATCGATAAAATAAGTTTCAATTGTATGGCTAAGCAGACAGATGCTTGTCTTCATTCTATAAGTTTATGGATATATACGTAGTACTGCTTATTTCACTCGATGATAACTATCTTGTCAATTCGCGTTTTTGGTTTTTGTTTTATTTTGAAAATATCGAATTTCGGATATTGGTTCAAGCAGTAAATTCTTATCATATGTCATATGATACCGTCGCATAACAGTGCAACAAAGGTCTCATTGTAAAGTGCGCACTTGTAATGGAAATGTTTAGAAACAAAAACTAGTTTTAGATCAGGTTTTGTATAAATTTTGAGTTATGAACGTAGATTCATATATTTTCATCGATTGATGGATGAACTGATTAGAGAAATTAGTAATGAACACATATAACAAGCTTGAAATCGGTTGAATATATTCATCAATAATAGCATCGTATCTGAAAAATAAACAAACAAGTTAATATGTATATGTTTGAGAGAGATTAAAAGATATTCTGGATGCGAAACTCTGCATGAAACGAGTTCGACTCAAGAAAAGCAAATCCTCTACTGAGCAGACTACAAAACCATGCATCATTATGGAACGCGGTATAGAATGGCAGTCAAGTCTCTATCTCAACTTCATCAACTTTGAAAGGACCTTCGACAGAATTGACCGCGAAGTAATTTGGAAACTACTTCAACACTGTGGCGTGCCTCAAATCTTTATGAACCTCATTCAACAACTATATGATGCCACATACCAAGGGATTCACAGTGGAAGCTTTTGATTTAGAAGACACGAGCAAGACGAGACAGTCTACTAACACCGATGATATTCCTGAATGTGGTCGACAGGATTATGCGTCAGACTGTGGGAAGTGAGGAGACAGGGATACGTTGAACTGATAAGAAAACTGAGGAAGATCTACACTTTGCCGGTGATGTATGTCTGATTTCGAACAAACTCGAAGACCTACAGGCGAAAACGAACAAGTTGGCAGAAAAGACGGGTAGCGAAGACAGGACTTCAAGCTAACTTAGAGAAGACGGAGGTGAAGAGGATACTGGACCAAGAACAACAAGCACCAATCATTATCAACGGGATAAATCCAAAGGAAGTCACTTCCATTTATCCAGTCAGTATTTCTTCAACTACAGACGGCACGGATAACGATATCAAAGGCAACCAATATAGAAGAATCATGAGACATCTTCATTTAGCTGAAATTGGTATGGAGATCAACTGCGGATAGTACACGTAATAAGACCAGGACTTTTAACACTAATATTAAGTTGATTCTTCTATGACCGACTAACTGCTTTCAACAAACAACTTTGCATCAATGTGCAGCAGTCCAAGTTGCCACACTCCATGTATCACACAAAGAAATTGAAGAGAGTGAAGATAGATTCAGAGAGAGGCAGATTATAAACAAAGTGTGAGGGAAAGGGAATAGTAGTATGTGGAATATGTAGAGTTTTGTTGGATATTATTAACGAAAAAGAGCGAATACACCTGCGCCAGCCATTAAAAACGATTTTGAGCTATATCACCGATTGTCTCCAGCCATTAGTTTTTACCATCTCGAGGACCCCAACCAACCAGAAAACCAGTATCCACCTAACTCCCTACGTGACTGGCTGGTTTGAAATAACTCGTATGGATTTCATTGAATGATGAAGCCATCTTTTGGTCCGACCACCACCAGCTCGTTTACATTCTGACCCATCCTATGCCAGTTAACATTCCCCGTCGAGGAAGGCGATAGCTAGACATTCATGTGTAATACATGTCCTAATCATTTCAATTGGTATAGCTTCACAACCTCGTCGATTGATTCCCCCTCCCACCTACCCAGCACTCGACGGAAGCCTAACCTCAATATTCCTCACCCTATGATACCATCTAACATGGGAGATAGAACACATACACCTATGATCAAAGACAGCTAGCCGGCCTTTTCACGTCTTCCACTTCTAGTGGATATCTCTCACAACTATAAAGGAGGACGGAGCGAACTGTTGACCAGTACACACTTCCTTTGGCTGAAAGCTAATCGGATATCACTTCTATGCCAGAGATGGCGTAATTTGGCAGGTATATGCCAAACAACCCGTCTGTATCCGTGCTGAGATTTCGTCAGCCATTAACCCACCGTTGTTGGCTGATACAACTTCTCAAATAAGTGAAGTGGTCAACACACTCCACCATTTCACTCCCCACCTTTAAGCTAGAAGTGAGTCGGTGTAGTTCACTCTCGCAGCATCATTGCACATTTGATAGCAGGAGTGAATCGGACACCAAGGATCCAAAGATTGCTTCTGGAGGTGTTCAGAAGACTCTGCATTTTGTCAGCATCTTCACCTCGGAGGGGGGACTTCATCATCTGCATATTCTAAGTCAACGAGATTATTTCGTGATGGTAAGAAGTCAATCCCTGAATCGCTGACGTCTCTTGGGATTAAGTCGATTAGTACATTTCTGATGAAGTTAAATAGAAATGCAAATAGTGGTCATCTGTCGGATGGACACCACTGGTTGTCACCACTTGAGATGATAATTCTCTGCAAGCTGTCACCTGGCTGACTGTATGATTTCGAATAGAGTGAGTGCGTTGATCAGTGCGATGTAGTTTCTCAACATTCCCATCATAGCACCACTTAGTCTACTCTTGATTGTTGGTTCTAGGACTTTAGACACTGTGTTAGTCAGGCTAATTCCTCTGTGATTATCATAGAAAGATTTGTCTCGCTCCTTGTGTATCGGGATAATCAGTGACTAACACCAGTCCGATGGAACTATCTGTGATTCCCAGACGCTGCCTAATACCTTAGTTAACGCAGACAGACACCTCTGGAGTTATTCCATCAGCTCCCTCTGCTTTACGTCGTTTCAGACTACAGACAGCTTCTGTAACCTCAGTTAGGGATGGAGGGCCGATGTTTGCACCCCAACCAAGGAGGTGTTGGATGCTTGGTAAGTTGCACGTGTGTGTAGGCCAATTAAATAGCTCTTCAAAGTGTTCCTTCCAACGTTCCAGTCGTTTATCCTGACAGCTAACTAGGGCTCCATTTTTCTCGGAGATTGTTTCATTTATCATTTGCCTTTTCCCACCTGTTTCCCTGGTAAGTCTAAATAGTTGTTGTCTGGTGTTACCTATCACCTATGCCTTTTCCATCTCTTTTTCCCACCACTGTGCACGGTCGTTGCGAAGACTTCTTGTTAGTTTGCATTTGAGTAGCTTTCGCTCCTCATCGTATTCTGAGCTCGCCGGAATCAGTCTTCTTGCTTCAATCAGTTCGGATGAGGTGGTAGAAATCCAAAGGCTCTTATTAACTTTTGGTTTTAGGTTATTAACAGCCAATAAAACTGTGTCTACAGTTAACTATATATTGTGTCGGGCTTCCTCAGGAGGAGTCTTGATGTGGATCTCATATACGCATTTAGCTGTTTCTTCCTTAAATAGGAACTCGGTGTTCTGATCAAGTTGAGGGCGCAACTGCTTCGCTGCCAACAGTGTTTTTGTCAGTTTAGTCGTAAGCATAAAGTTGCGCGAACCAGGGTATGATCGGAATCTACACATGTGTTCCAGAAGGAGCACGAGTATTCTACTGACCCTCACCAACGGTAGCTCACCTCTGTGATCTGTTTGAATCCAGCGTTGATTTGGTGGTGGAAGTTGCCAGGTTACGCAATGTCTCTCTTTTTGCCTAAAGTTAGTGATGACTAGGAACAGATGATTATCTGAACAGCACTGTAGAAGACGATCACCGTTACCAATTCGTCGTCAGAGAACTCTCTAGGTGCCACCGATATATTTCTCTGTGGCATAACTTCCCTGCTTGGGCACTGAAGTCACTTGCCAAAGCAAATACATCTGAGCGTTTTGCTTTTCTCAGAAAACTAGACAGTTTTCGGTAGAAATCATCCTTTAATTCATCCGAACTGCAGTTGGTTTGGGCGTGAGCGGAGACTAAGAAAAGATAAACACAGGTAACACCGTCCTTCCTTCTTTTAACAGACCCGTTCAGAAGGACCACACACGTACTACTATCTACTAGGATCCAGTCAAGAAGGGATTTTTCAGCTCTAACACTCAATTCTATCCCTACACTTACTAGTCCTCGTGAACTAGCTGAGGAGTCTCGTGATACCCTTAAGGTGAATTTTTCAGATTCACCTTGTTGACCGGATGTGGTTAAGTCAATAACAACATTCGGATCTTGTATGCGTGTCTCCGAAACATAACATACATTCATGGCTCGTGATGCCTGTTTTCTGATTTCCCATAGGGTACTGACAATAAATGCTGCAATGTGAAGTTGGTGGCGTGGCTGTAAGGGACTATCGGGAGTGTTTTCCTGGCTCTCGTCGTTATTTATGGACAAAGGGTGAAATGAAGATGACTGTCTAGTCTTCAGAATGGTATTAACAGTAGTAGGGAAAAAACAAGATGAGGAGGATGACGTGGATAAAGAATAATGATTATCAGAAGAGCTTCGTGTGCTTCTTCTTTATGATTCAGGGACTTGGCTCACATGTCTCGAAAGGCATTTCTAACAGGCTACTGTCGATTTTAATCAACAGCCTTCTGTGCTTCATACTGAAGATCATACGGCTGATCAGAAAGAATAGGAAATCGTGACTGGCAAAGAACTAATCAATAACATATCGCCC